TTAAATTTTAATTTTTGAATTAAAAATGTGGAGAAGTTAAAATAATATATAGTATATATTTAAATCCAAAATTGGGATAAAAAATTGGAAATTTTATTTTATTAATTAGTAGTAAAAATTTAATATTGAAATTTGAATCCCAAAATCAACACTTAAAAATAGATAAAACAAAAATCATTTGATAGTGATTTTTACTTCTAAAACAATTTCTGTTTTTTTTTTTACTTTTAAGACCGTAATTTAGGTTTAAGAAATATTATTTTTGACACTTCTTACAACAGTGGCAAATTAAGAGAAATCGTTTGATAACCCTGTCCCTCCTCATATAACGTTTTTGTTAAAAACTACTAAAAGTGCGGGAAAGTAATAATGAAATGGCTCAGAAGCATTATATTTAAAGGGTGATCCATTTCGAAGTTCTCTACACAGAACCTTCAAACTTAATTGTTAATGTTTATATCATTCGAAAGAGCATTCTTTGGCATTTATGTTTTGAAAATGAGTTTTTACAAAAGTTGGCGGGGAATATGCCTCAAATGGGCCATACTTTAAGTTAAATTTTCGGTGACTCGTTCGAGCATTTCGACTGTTAACTGGCGAATGACAAATTATCTGCTGACCGAAGTATTCTCTTGCCATTGATTAATGCGTTCTGTGATAGTGGCGCAGTCTTGTTAAAATTAAAATCGCCGAGATCACGAGATTCATTTTCAGGCACCAATAGTCGATTATCACGACGCGATAACGGTCGACAGTGACGGCTACTTTTTCGCCGGCATAATTTTTAAAGAAGTATGAACCAATGCTTCCACCGGCCCACAAACCACTCCAAGTCGTTATTTTTTCTAGATGAAATGGCAAATTTTGCATCTTAACAGGCAGCTCTTCGTCTCAAATGCGACTAGCTTACTTGTCTAATGCCCATAGAGCGAAGCGCTGTCGCTTAAAGGTCGATTTGTATTTATATATTTATAAAATTGTTCGCAAAAAATTTCTCAATTCTACCTGAGCAATATCAAAAATTAACGCAATCAGCCCTTTTATTACGGTTATTTTGTTAAGGTTTTTCGGCATTATTTGTAGTAGAATGAACCAACACAGAGCTTACAACTTTTTACACAATTTTAAATATTTATTAATTGCGGGATTTATCGTGCCAATGGCGATTATCAAGAAAAAATTTAGACAAACGGCGTCCATGATTCCAGCAGACTGCCTAACCTAAACACAAAAAAAAAAGTACATATTAATCTGTAATCATTGAAAGTTAAAAGCAAACGATAGTACCATTTTTGAGAAATCGTAAACGCTAGTTTAAAAGTTGCCGTTTCGAGAAAAATACGATTGAAAATTCAGGTATGTAGGCCGCGCACTCTAAACACTTTACTTTATCACACCTGTAACTTTCCAACTATATTCAATTTCGAAACATTACTTTACCAATACATGCTATGAATGCTCTAGATTCGATTTATTTGATAGTTTTTAGATTTATTTGGCATTAAGATAGAGTTAGCTTTCTATTGACAGAGCTATAAGCCGCAAAAGCGATCGTACTAACCTAATATTATAAAATGAAAAACTTAAGTTATGAGAAATTGTTGACGACCTGGGCCGTATCGTTGTTTTTGCAATCCAGCTCAAAAGTTGTAACTATATACCAATCATTGCCCAACGGAATACAACTATATACGAACTTAGTTATTTGGTTTCGTGATGTTATCAAAAGTGATACCTTCATATAAATTTATTCCCACCAGTGCCATTAGCGGTTATCATTACTACGTGTTAGTATCGATAACGTCGTTACTTGGTCTGCCAAGTTTATTAGTCAGTAAGTGTTGTTGCCGTCATCACTCTCACTTTTTTCACAAGTTACTCTAAAACTGTTTTAAGTAGCAGGCTAACAGCAATGCGAAGTAGTGAGAGTGACTAAATGAAAAAGCACAAACAATTGCCGGCGTTTGTCTCAACACAAGACACACGGCATATGTAGAAACGTGGAAGCTTTAACGCAAAACACCGAAAGCAACAACAATCATTGTTATGTGCACATGTTTTATGAAGTTCAGTTCCTTGTGTTGTAATAAAAATTTCGAAATCACACACGAAAACGAAAACGAAAACCTTATCAGCAATCGTCAAGAGAGTGATTGAAGCGGCTAAGAGCAGTGAATGATGGCGAACAAGCAAAAAACAAGTGTGTGATAAACTGCGATCAGTATGGGCAATATGGTCACAAGTGGCGTCACGTATACTCAGAAACAAACTTATTCACATACATACCATACACACACGTATGAATGTAGAGTAAATGAGCAAATATCAGAGTAAAGTTATGGAAATATGGAGCAGTCAAAAATTTGTGCAAACAAGTAAGAGAGGGATAAGTTCGGTTACAACCGAACATTTTGTACTCCAGGAATTTGCAACACACAAAGGTGAGAAAATACTTTCAACAATTTTTTTCTCATTTCCAAAAATGAAAATTTTTATTATAATTTTTTATTACTACAAAAATGCACTATTAACACAGAATTTCAAAAATTTTTGGAAATAAATATTTTAAACACGGCCTTTGCGACGTCCTATCCGATGACCACAGTGAAAGTTTCGAAACATTTGTTTCGTATAGTTTTAGTCTTTAAGAATTGTTTCTCTAAGGCCTGTGTAAAATTTCATGAGGATCGGTTGAGTAGCTCTCGAGAAATCTTGCCATCCCACTTGAAAAACACAGTTTCGAAGAAAACGTGTTTAAAGGCGGTGCAGTTAGCCTGGTTAGCCTTGAATGCAAAAGTTCTCATGGCTGCATCTCCGAAACTACTAATGAGATCAACTTGAAAACTTAGGAAAATATTCTAGAGGTGTTGTAGAATTTATTAAAATCCAAAAAACAACCTTCTTAGATGAAGTACATTTCTGGCTTGTTGACTTCAACAACAAACAAAATATTCGCTATTGGGGTGCATCAAATTCTCTGGTGGTTCAAGAAACACAATTGCATCTCCCAAAATGTGGTCTCTTGAAAAGTTCTAAGAAGATGCGACGTTTTCTGAGACGTAGCCACGGCCAATGTTTGAAAGGGATAGTCCTCAAACTATAAATGTCAAAGAATGTTCTTTCGAATGATAATATACATTCCGCAATAAATTTGAAGTATCTGTGTTTTTTCTTTAAAAAACTTAGGGAACCTCAAAATGGATCACCCTTCACATTGCAACACATTGTTAACCAACATTTTCCCGGAATTTAATGAAATCAACGTTAATATGGTAGTAAAGTAGTTTCGGACATATGCTCATTAAACTCTTTAGAGCGCGGAGCCACGGCCTCTTATTGCAAATAACGCATATACTTTGCCACCACAATGTCTTATAGCAAATAACGGTTTTGTATCTGAATTTGAAAAGTAGTTATAGGCTTTTACTATATACATACATACATATGTCTTCGCTAGGTGGGACTTTGTAAGCATGGCAATGTACCGATTTCGCCCAACTTCAATACCAATCCCCCTTAAAAGCCGTAGAACACGTGTACAAAGTTTCATCAAAATATCTCCATTTTTACTCAAGATATAGCTTGCACGGACGGACGTACGGACAAACAGACAGTATTTTGGATTCAACACGTATATATCTATATAGATATCCTGATCATTTATACATACATATATGCATACATAGCTTTCTATCTATCTCGTTTACTTTTAGGTCATACAAACAACAGTTAGGTGCACAAAACTATAATACCCTGTAGCAACATGTTGCCAGAGTATAAAAGTAAAAGATGAGCTTACCATAGGTACTCAATTTGAATAAATATTGGCAGAAGTACGCTACAAAAGCACACGACATTATATGATGAGTTGTACTAATACACAGAGTCGCATCAAATTACATGCTACTACGGCGCTTCTGCACGCTCACATCCGCTCAGTGAAGTTTTCTCTGCATTGCTGCCAAAATTTCGATTGCTCGATTTCCATTGCTTATGCGGCCTCACTCAAGTGACCAGCCGTACGACCTTGTCGCTCGTTTGCATTTCACAAACAAACCACATACACACACGCGCACGAACATACATGTTTGTTGCTTTGTTGTCGCTCTGCCCTCACATTTCATTCACATAATTTCACTTGCGCTCTCCCATTTCGCTCTACCTGCACTCACCTACATACTTGTGTGTTTGTTTGCGTATGCAGATCGGCTGGCGACGCGTGCATTGTCTGGCCAACATCAACCACATGCACATAGATCTTTCCATTATCGCTTGCCTTGGCTTTTGAACCGCTACGCGCTGTCGCCATTGTGACGTCTCGTCATTGCTCTTTCGAAAGTTATTTGCTGAGCGCTTTTACTTATACTTGTGGTACACAGCGCACGAGTGCTTTCCATTCGCAGTGTCGCTTGGCCGCTGGCAGTCATTTGCTGTTTGCCTGTTAAATAAAATTTATAATTTAATTTATTTAAAAAATTATTTCAAAAGTAAACATTGGACGGTGAAGATTTTCCGTCCGCCCGCAAAAACAGCAGACAGGCGCAGACATTGTGTGGACGCTGCATGTTGTTGGTGGTTAGTTGTTGCTGCTGTTTGCCGTATGAGGTGATAGGGAGATGATGCCAAGTGCTGCATTAATTTTAAAATTTTTGTCAGACACTGTCAGCGGTGTTTACACTCATTTGCAAGTCGCCAAGCCAGGGCAGCGTAGACAGAGTTAGAGTTTCAGTCTGGCAGTAGTATTTGCATTTGTCTTCTTGCTTGCCGTCTGTCTGCAAAGCCGAAAATTCGTCGAGTAAATTTTATGAAAAGCCAACCAGCAAACGGCATAGGCTGTGCAGCAGCTGCGGGTTGTGTGTGTATAAGTGAAGAAAATGTTATTTTAATTATAAAATGTTTCGAGTTTAAAGCGAAATTGCGACTGACAGCCATGGCATGGCCTTATACATTGTTATTGCAGCGCTTGTGCGGCTGAGCAGCGAAAAATATGTGAAGAAGAAGGGAAGCGTGGTCTCACCTCCTGTGCGTTTTAAAATAGCAAGACTGATGCCTAAAATTGGAGCACATACTGACGCAGAAACATGTATAGACGTTGGAAAAATGTGGTGGTTTTTTGACATATGTACTTGGACATAACTCAAAGAAATTTTAATTATTTTTTATTAATTCAATATTAATTTTTTTTTTATTAAATAAATTTTTGTTATTTGAGTTGTAGAATATTCAAGAGAGCTAAAATGAAATAAAATTACAAATATTTTATGCTTTTTTCAGGTAACAGGCGAAGCCGTATAATTTCTGAAAGTAACGAGAAGTAATCAAACTGGCATGACACTCATTGGAAAATAAAGTTAAAATAACAAAAATGAAAGCAAGAATTATTTACGACGAGCTGAAGTTGGAAGGAGGAGTGGAATAGACAACAGGTTGTAGCATATTTAATAAAATTAAAAAGAAACAAAATTACAAATATTTTTATGATTTCTTCCAGTAACAAACTCGACTAGATAACGCCTGAGAGCAAAAAAAGAACATTGTACTGGAAGGAAACTCATTGGCAACAAAAGATAAAGCAACAAAACTTAAAGGAAAATGTATTAACGCGCAATCTGAAGTTAGAAAGAGGGTGGGGGAGGAGCCGTGGTTGAATTTTCAAGCGTTGAAAATGTCTTGCCTTGGTTTCAGGTAAAAATACGTGTTCTACAGAAAAAAGTTATATGTCAAAGTTGTAGCTAATGAAAAGATCCACAACTTTGGTATGAACACCTTTTAAGCATAACCTCACAATTTATGAAAAATGCAAATAATCCAATTTTAGGTTGTTTTGTTTTTTGCTTACACATAATTTGTTGCAAATTTACCTTCTTATGTCCCAAAGCTACTATATATTTTTTTTAAATAAAACTAACCTACAACACCTGAGTAATAAAAATTTCATTTCGCTTGAATTTCAGACAGTTGAAAGTGAAGGCAAGGGTGCTACAGTAGTTCTCCCACGAATGCGGGTCTAAGTAAACCGAACGAACTGAGATTTTGATTCGACCAAGAACTGTTAAGTCGGCAGCATGCTTCGAATTACTTCAGCAAAGTTTTCTGATGTCACACAGCAGCAACTATTTCTGCTTATTCAAAGTATAGAAGGATACATAGCATCGCTTCTACGACAGTCGGCTCTACGTAATCTGTAGGGACCCGGATTTTTATCATTTTTATCCAGCCAATGATTGTCATCTCAGCAGCATGCCCCAAATCACTTCAGTGCTGCTACAGATACAAGATTTTTCTCTAAAGCGCTGCCCTGGTGTACTGCAAACCGAAATACTTACCAAGAGCGACATTTTTAGACTTGCTATTTACTTACTTTTCAACCATTGTTAACATATAATTGCACTAAATTCTTAATAAAAATAAAAATATATATTACTGAAAAGTCTAAAATGTGCGTTTTATTTGTCAGCCCATGAACTGTAAACATATTTTTTACGAATTGCATGGTTAAAGCATTAAATTCTAATCTGTAGTATGCTAACGCTAAAAGTGCTGCTAACATTAATAGTGGTAACAACATTAACATTATCAGAAGAAAAAACAGTGGTCGAAAAATGTTGCAATTTGCAATTTTGCTGAAAATTACATGCGCGTCACACGAAATGTACTAGGCGCCCAGCATGCACCAGTAGGTTGATGTTATGTTAATAACATATTATGTTAATGTAACATTAACATTTCATGTTATGAACATAACATTTACATGACATGTTAGTAAAATAACATTAACATAACATAACATTAACATGTCATGCTAATAACATAACATTAACATTAACATGACATGTTATTAACATAACATTTTTGATTTAACAGCGGCAACCTACTGGCGCATGCTGGGCGCCTAGTACATTTGGTATGAAACACATTACCAAAAAGTTAACATAGCATGCCCTTAACATAACATTAACATAGCATGTCAATAACATAACATTAACATGACATGTCATTAACATAACATTAACATGACGTGTAATTAACATAACATTAACATGACATGTTAGTAACATAACATTTCTATGTTAATAACATAACATTAACATAACCTGTTATGTTATTAACATAACATTAACATGACATGTTATGTTAATTAACATAACATTAACATGGCATCAACCTACTAGTGCATGCTGGGCGCCTGGTGCACTGCCTATGGCGCGCATGTGATTTTTCAGCACAAAAGCGACAGCGCTTGTAAATTGCAACATTTTTCGCTACAGTGCTGTTGAGTGCACTAAAAGCGCTCAAATGTAAAATTAATGCTGAGACCAATATAATTTAATACAAACCAAATAACCAAATAACAACTCCAAAAACCCCCAAAGCATGAAATTAAAAATAAAACAACTTTATTTACTTTTCCAATTTTATGCGCATCATAATTGTTTATTGTGTATAATGCTATCATTTCATAGGGAGAGATATATAATATTGCACAAAATGTCGTTTTTTTGTTACGCTCACACCTTTCGCTATTTGCTGGTTGGTATAATCATTGTCCGTATTATTAATAGTTTTTACTCAATTTTTTCCATTAGTGATGACTTGTGTGTGTTTTTTCTCATTAGACCAAATAGCTTGCAGCACACACACATTGTTTGTTGAATTTTTCTTAATTTTTCAAATTTCCATAATTATCAACTCTACTTACATTATATTTTATTACATACATACTTAGTTCTCATAATTCTTTATATATATATATATGTATATTATACTGATTCTTGCTGTTGCTGCTGTTTTTACGGCAAAGTGTTCAATAACGCCTTTACGACACGCCTATTGCATTAATGTGTTGGTTTTCGGTCTTTAGGGGCCTGGCAAGATTTTAAATTATT